TACCTAAAACCATACCGAGGTTCTTTGCAACAAATAAAGTAAATGAAGTGCTACGTAACATGAGGCACTTACTTTGTTAAAGCATGCGAGGAAAAGTAAGTTATAGTCCCAAATGACTATATACAGACTCTATTATACATGACTACTATAATAGAGGACCAATTAAATAGACGTTTATTGATGACTCCTTATTAGTAAGAGCTGTCAAGGAAAATATAAACAAACAAAATTTCTATCTTCACAATGTTCATAATCTAGTAAAAGAGGCAAATACAGATATAACTATATTACAGTGCAAAAGGTGAATAATAAATAGATGAATGAGCAAAGGAACTCAGTAAGCAAAGATGTGAACATAATCAATCCTGCTTTGTGATGCAGAGAATGCAACACAAAAAAGGTAAGTTGGCAGCTTAGTTTTGAAAGATGAGGATAATTTTACTATGTAGGAAAGGAGAAAAAAGGTTATTTCAGCCACTGGGAACACATGCTAAGTGGAGCAAAGACAAGAAAGTAATATGTTCAGAAAATGGTGAGTAAGTTGGTATATGATGAGTGCAGGCAATCACAAGTGATTTGGCCAAAAGACACACAAAAAGGGACATTCAAGAAAAAAGAGGTACTCAAATATACTTCTCAAGTGTCTTTTAGAGTTCAAGTAAGAATAGAGACTGAGAAAAAGTAATTGGATTTGGTTAAAAACATGCACACACACACACCATGTAGCTAGAATTTTTTCTTCTATAGTATCAGTGAGAGTATTTTTCTTTATTTTAAAACTATAATTATTAAATTATAGAATATGCAATTGTTAGAAAATATGAACTACAGGCTAGCAAAATAAAAATCCTATAAATCAAAATCTAATCCACCATGCGAAGATAATCAGTGTTAACACCTGAGATACAGTCTTCCACTTTTTGTCCCTGCTGACATAATGTGTAATGTGTATGTAGTTAAAAAAAAATGAAATCAGGGCTGGCCCGGTGGCGCACTCGGTAGAGTGCGGTGCTTGGGAGCACGGCGGCACTCCCGCCGAGGGTTCAGATCCCATATACAGACCGGTCCGCTCACTGGTTGAGCACGGTGCGGGCATGACACCGAGGGTTGCGATCCCATTACCGGTCACGAAAAAAAGACAAAATGGACAAAAAAAAAAAATGAAATCATATTCTACCTTCCACAATTTTTTAAACCTCATAATATGTTATTTAGTGGTTACCCTCACATAAAGTGCTGCTGCTTAGACTTCCTATAATTCTTAGAATAGAAATTCTGTCACTGTTTTCTGTTTCTCTATCATTTCACGTTTAATTTTGCTCACTCCTTTTGCTTTCTTAGTGAATTTTCACTCAGAGTTTGATACCTAAAACACTGATTTATCCATAGTGTTTATTTTTTTAATAACATCCATTAATACTATCATTGTATCATTAGCTTTGTAGATTTTTTTTCTTATTGTCTCAATTTCCTGTTCATTCAAACCATCTTTTCATTTTCTTATTCATTAATGTTTATATTTCATTACAAACACAAAGACACTTTTTATATCTTTTGTTTTTCTGAATATATCTTATATGAAATTATTTTCCCTTAACATAATTCTCTTATATTATGTTTTCATTTTTAAGTCCCCTCTTTGGATAGCTATTCAGGCAAGACGTTTGCCAGGAGACAAACTGAAAATAGTCTCCCATTCTGGTGTCCATCTGGTATTTATCAATAGCACATCTGGAATGCAAAACCTGTGGCTGTAGTTTTATCAGAAATGGGGTTGATATTCTCCCATCCTATTTCTAGAGGTTGATTTTATAAACTTGATTTTAGAATTTTACATTTATCCCTGTTATATTTCATCTTGTTTTATTTAGTCTGTTGAGAGTATTTCAGTCTTGATTTTGTTATATTAGTTATTTCTCTCAGTTTCCTGTCATCTAAAAATCTTCTAGAAGTGATTTTTTTTTCAAAAAGTTGGAACTCTGTTTCATATCTTACTAGAAAGAAAATTTTCCATATATAATGCCTGTGTTCCTGCAACCATTTGCATTTTGAGGACAAGCACTCTATCTGTCTTATTTAAGATTTACTCTCAGCACCTGACATATCTACCATTTAGTGGCACTTGATATGTTGTACAACGCATGGTACTGTGGTCATAATCACTCTATGCCCAAAAGTGATAAGGGTGAAAACTGGGATTGCAGGAAAGATTTTGTATTGCTTTCTATCCCATATTAAAAGAATTTTGTGATCACTAGTAGCATGATATAGTCTAAAGAATCAAGGGCACAAATGGAATTCTTATGTTTCTGGCAGGAGTGTAAAATGGAACAAATTCTTTAGAACACTTTTGCAGGATCTAGTAAAGCTAAATATATGTGTTTCCTAATACTTAGCAATTTCATTTCTCAGTTCATACTCAAGTAATATGAGTACATGTGACCACCAAAAGACAGATACAAGAATGTGTTTAGCAGTGTTATTCATAATAGCTCCAAACTGAAAACAATTCCACACACCTATGACATAGTATATTCAGACAGTGGAATAGTACATATCAATGAAGAAGAATAAACAATCGACACTTAGAGCAACTGGGGTTAATCTCACAAACCACATGTATATAAAAAAAAAGTAAAAAACAAGAGAGCATATACTGTATGTTCTGTATATATGAATTTCAAAAACAGACAAAATTGTTGCCTGTTGCGGAGTATCAACAGGAGGAAGTCACTGGTGCTAGAAGTGCTCTTGATCTGTATGACAATTACACAGGAAGTTGTATGTGTGTATATGTAAAGATACATCAATGTTCTCACTTAAGATTTGTGCATTTTATTTTATGGAAGAAGACTTCAATTTTAAAAATTAAAAGGCAAAATAAAGGTATTCCCAAGCAAAAAAAAAAAAGAGGGTTTGTGGTCAGATGGACCTGGTCATAAATTTTGAAAGCAGAATGGGGATCACAGTACTTATTTTTCTGGGCTAATGTGATAATTAGAGATAACACATGTGAAGTGTAGGCAAAGTCTGACATTATTTATGAGATCAACAATTTGCAGATACACCTACATTCTCTAAGCCAGTGCTTCTTAAGCCTTAACGTACACACAAATCACATAGAGATCTTGTTAAAGTGCAGACTCTAACTCTCTAGGTCTGGAATGAGGCCTGAAATTCTGCATTTTTGAAAAGCACCCATGTAATTCCAACGTTGCTTGTCCATGGACCATACTTTGAGTAGCAATGGGGAGAAATGGAGATGAGTGGGGTTTATCAGCAGGGAAAAGATCTTGATAAAATTCCTGTTTTTAAAGGAATGTGTCCCTGAATGAGGAAAGGGAGAAAAGGAGTGGAAAGTGGGAAAAGAGAAATAATTTGCAGAATCATCAAGACTTGGCATTTCATTGAAGTTTAGGAGTGACTAAAGGAAGTTATAAAAGACAGCTTGAGGTTTCTAGATTCAATGATTTGATAGACAAATAAGGCCTTAGTTTTAAGTATTTTATAAGATCCTTTTGATTAAAATTGAGCTCAGGAGGAATGGATGTCATAAAAAAAAAAAAACCTTTTTTTTTTTTCCAATGTGGTTCATGCTAGCACAGAATAAATCAAGGGGAAATGGTATAGTGGGCAGTTTAGGACTACTTGTATCAGAAAAAGCTATGAGATGAGGGGTTTCATAAGTCAACTTTGTTGCACTAATAAATAGCCCCAAAAGTCTCATTGGCTTTCACCAACAAACTTTTGTTGTGTCTCTGCTTGGCTCTGCTTGGCTCTGTTGCACATGTTTTCAATCCAGGCTGTAGGATGAAGGAACATGCTCTATTAAGAGCAAGAGAGCTAGAGGAAACATGCAAGGGATCTTTAAGCTTCAGCTCAGGTGAAATACACATCATGTCTGTTCCAGTGACATTTTCTAAACCAAGTCACAGGAACAGGCCTGGTTTCTACAGAGTGGGAACATACCTGTCCCACAGGGGTCACTGCAGGTCACATGGCCAAGCTCAGGTGAAATACACATCATGTCTGTTCCAGTGACATTTTCTAAACCAAGTCACAAGAACAGTCCTGGTTTCTACAGAGTGGGAACATACCTGTCCCACAGGGGTCACTGCAGGTCACATGGCCACAGACAGAGAAATGTAATCCTCTTGCAGAAAGAAATAGGGACAAGTTGGAACAATAATGCTACCCAGCACAGGAATGTACCCAAGCAAAGAGCGCCCAGGCTCTTCTGCATCCCCTTCATGCCTATAATAACCCTAGCTCTGGGTTTTAAGTCAACAGTTAAATTATCCTCAGCAAAAAATCTTTCATTAGCATGAGGTAAATGGACAGATTTCAATTTCCTCTCTTAATGAGCACTTAAATGTTCTAAACTCTACAGGGGAGGAGAGGGAGCGAAGCCAGGGGGTGTGGAAGGAAAACCATTACTACATAATCAGCCTCAGAGTAATCAAGAGTTGGCTGAATTCTCTCCTGACCTTTGCTATATTTAGTACTTGTTTTAAGAGGAAGGTTGATCTGTAATCCCACCCAATCCCCATGTGTTCACATTACTCAAGTTTTTTAATGCTTTTCTGATGGAAGAATGAAAGTACAAGTAGTATTTTAATTTTCCAGGAAAACTCAATACAGGAAATAGAACTTAAAAGGAAATTAAATGTAATTAACCCATAGAGACCAGAAATTATTTTAAAATTTCTAAACTTTTAGGTTGTGTCCTCCATCCATATCTAATGCACTGGTAAGCCAAATACTAATTGTACCAGTCAATTCAAATAAGAGATTTTTGCCTAAGTTATCTGGATATTTTTCATAAAATAATTGATATACATATGATGATTTGAAAAATATCTTCACCCTCCACTTTGGTTCAAAACTGTTCTCTGTCTCTCCATGCATCGTTTCTGAAGGTTGTGCTTTTTCAAACCAGGGATAAGGCTACGATTATGCATATCACATTTCTTTTATTTTTTAATCACTGTTCTTAACAGGGCAAGAGAATGATTCAACAAAGAATGAAATAAAAATTGAGACAGAGTCCCAGAGTTCATATATGGAAACAGAAGGTACGGAAACTAGAATATATTGTTATCATAGAATGAAATGAAACTGTGACCCATGACTTCTGCATATGGTTGTGTGTGTGAGTGGTGTGCACGTGTGTCATAGGTAATGATTACTGGAAGGTGACAACAGTGTTATGCTTTGTGTGCCTGTTGAATGCTGAAATGTGGAGGGGGAAAAAAGAACTGTTAACTTTCTGTGCTGTAGTCACTGTTTTGTCAATGATTCCAACTAAAACATCCCTGAGTATACCTCTGTCTTGGTCTATTTAGAACTTTTGTCAAACCAAGAAGATGACACAATTGTGGAGCAACCGGAAGTGATTCCACTAACAGATAACCAAGAAGAAAACGAAGGTGAAGACGGTAGGACTGCCCTTAAATTAACCCATCAAGAATAAAGAGTTTCTTTTGATCCCTGCCTAGAATTCAGCCATCAAAGTTATCCTTGTGCAATTGCAGTCTGTAAAGGGGGAAAATGAACATTTCTTTTGAAAGCAGAATAAAATCTAGAATTAGCAAAAGAAGATACTTGAAACACTTTTATTTTCCTCCCAAATAGTATGAAGATGGTTTTTGTTATTTACTTAGATTCAATTTATGTTTTAAAAATCATAGTATTCAGAAAGTCTATAAGAAATTGAAATTATGAACTAGAGTCATAGAAAATCTGAAATGGCTTTAAAACAAATAGATTGACCTTTTTGTGTTGATTTAATTATCTTCCCATGTATGGTAGTGATTAAAGATGTGATTATTTAAAATATGCACAGAAGAGGATTGGCATACCCTCTAAAGTGCAAGCTTCATCTGCTGATATTAGGATACAACAATATTGAATACTGTTTTAAAAAAATAAATGAGCATTATAATGATTTCTGAAGACAAAGGAGTAACAAACACTTTGTAAATATTAAAGCAGCATTTGGAGCAAGAAACCAATATATTGGAGTGAATATAGAAATCTTTCTTAAAAATCTTTTTTAAAAAATTATCATCAAAGAAATTTAGTGTTTACTAAAGAACTTGAAGAATCCAATTTCCAAATATGAAGCAATTTTTTAAAAGTAGCTCATGAAATAATTTGTCTGTTACACTATACCATAAATCATATTGCTCTTAAATAAACATGTACTTGCAAAGCAGTTGCACGGTAATAATTTGACAGGCCTTCTTTATAGAACACAGTGATCAATTTTGTTTCCAAATTAAAATGCAGACATGATCTCAATTGTAAAATCAGGTCAATAGTAACTTCAGCTTCCAGATTATGAACTCTTGTTGGCAGGAGCATTGACATAGTTTAATTGCTAAACCACATAAGTGCTTTTGACACTTTTTAATATATCCACTGCATTTATACCACAATATTCTTTCAGGTCTATGCCTCTAATAACCTTTTCTCTGTTGCAAATCCTAGTTCAGACTCACGTTGCCATCTTCCTAGCAAGTCAAGTAAATGGTATATTTGGAGTATTTTATGTCTGACGGTAGCATGAGAGATTTGATACAACCCTTATTACAGATTCAGATACGTGGTGTTGCTGCCTTCAATTGTGCTCCTAAAATGAAAAATACACAATGCCATGACCTTTTGCTTAATTTTTCTATAGCAGAAATTATTTGCTTTGTATATTGTGCCTCAAGAAATGCAAATGGGTTAAGGTACATGAAACAACTAAGCACATTTTCCTCTTTTTAATTTCAAGTATGAAGGAAAAGCTCCCATACAGCACACATTAATATGTTACCTTCTCCCAGTGGCTTCCCTAGCATTGAACACTCCTCTGATTACTGAAGAGTTAAATACTCTTTTCCTGTCTTCCTTGTAGGTATGCCATTCCTCTTCTGCAAATGGTGAAATGGCATGTGAGAAAGAAGCAAGGTCAAATTCTGCTACATGCTTGTAGCAACTTTGAGTTTGAATTTATTTGTTAAAATTCGACTTTTCTCTGTAAGAAAGCAGTTTTGGTGGACTTGAATTAACCACATTTTCCCTTCCCACCTTTATCAGAAATACTTAACTTGGCCCTGCCTTAAGTATTTCTCATGTTTAAGTTGGAAATAATTTTAAATGCTTCACCACTATCATTTTATTCTTTGCTTCAAAGTAAGAGTTAAAAGCTATTCTGTTACATATAAAAAAGCACACGCAGAATAGAGGGCAATATAAGTTCCTGATCCTCTTCAGAAACTCTGCTCTACCACTGAGGAGGTGGGTTACCTTGGGCAAGTTATTTAACCCATCTCCTTCAGGTTCCTCATCTGTAAGATGGTGATGACAAAGTACCTGTCACATACAATTGTGAAAATCTAATGAGTAACACATGTAAAGCAATTACAAAGATACCTGGCACATAAAAAGCAGTCCACAGTATTCACTACTTATAATTGGATAAATTGGTGACAAAGTCAAGAGAACCCACACGTGGAGTTCCCCAAGCCCATTCATTGCCTTAACTTTTCAGTCCACGCTGTGAATCCATAAAAACTTCACATATTCTACATTCTCCTTCAACAACAATTGGGCCTGCACATTTGATTGGTAGCACCGTCTCGTGCAGGCAGTTTCAGTGTGGCTCTAAACTCTTTACATTGCTGCACATTTTATTCTATAAAGATAAAACAATTAACAGAAGGTGGGGTGGGAGCCATTTCCTTCCACTCATAAATTCCTTTTTCTTTGTCAAGATCTCAATCTTCTGCTTGAGAAATGTTGATAAAACCATAATTAGTAAATAGATTCAAAGTAGTAGAATTTTTTTGCTTTCTTTTAATTTATATAGTTATTAAAGAGTCTTGTTTAAGCTAGTTAAGAAAAATAAGTTCTAGTTGAGCGAGGCATCTACAATTAACATTAATTTACTGCATGTTATCAAATGACTGGAAGAGAGAAGAGATTGAATATCCTCAGCACAAATAAATGATTACATTTCATAATAATGAATATGCTAATTATCCTGATTTGATCTTCACACGTTGTACACAGGTATTGATATTCAACTCTGTACCCTACAAATATTTATAATAAATTATGTTTCAATAAAAAAGAAAAAAAATGACACTTGAAGAGCTTAGGGCTCTCGGGGCCGGCCCGGTGGCGCACTGCTACAGTGCGCCACTTGAGAGTGTGGCAGCGCTCCCGCCGAGGGTTTGGATCCCACATACAGACCGGTTCCCACTCGCGGGCGGGGCGAGGTGCGGGTGCAACGCCAAGGGTTGCGATCCCGTTGCCGGTCCCGGTCCAGTACGGGCGCGACACTGAGGGTTGCGATCCGTTGCTGGACACACACACACAAAAAAAAAAGAGACAAAAAGGAAGAGCTTAGGGCTCTAAAATTTTAAAATGTTGTTAATTACNGGTTCTCTTTTATTATGAGAATCTTTATAAGGAGGCAGAAAGTGGTCTCTTCAAAAAAATTTTTTTAGACCAGGAAAAATGTATAACCTTTTTCTCTCATTTTGTAGCATTTTATAAGATTAGAAAATATAGATAATCTTCAGGACACATCTTCTACGGCTCCCAGGTGTATGAGCACAGATGTTGCAACATTAAGTTTTGAAGTTAGCACTACCAAAATATGGATTTTGAAAAGAAGGAAAAATATTCAGCAGAAGTTCATGCTGATAAAATTACACAATAGCACAATGGACATCTCCCTGGGAGACCTGAAATAACAAAAATTTCAACAGGCATAAAGCGAGGCTTCACATATGGCAGCTTTTCTCATACAGCCACATTCCCTCTTTGTAAATGAGTCCAGTTTTATGCTTTCCCAGCAGGACCTGCAGCACATATGAAATCCAATGGAATAACATCATTTAGGTTAATAACCAAAGAGGAAAGTAATATTTATAGGAGATCTCCTCTAAAAAGCATCTCCTATTTCAATGTAAGACATAAGGCCAGCCTTGAAACATTTTTCTTAAAATTTTTATTCCTAGTTGAATTTAGAACTATTTGACATAAAATCTTAACTATATATCAACATTGTATTTTAGTATATCACAAAATTTCTTCTTGCTTTATTATGAATATGTATTGAACTTTTTCTCCAAGTGTTACACAGAATGCATACATTTGGTCCCAATTATTTTTCCTATATCAATTAATAAGTATAGTATGGAATAGTAATCCTTTATCTATTTACCTAAGGTTGAACAAAATGTTGATGAAGACTTAAGGTATATCGTGGTCTAAGGTTTTCCTTGGAAAAGATGAATATAGACAGGCATGCAAGTAAAGAGTGGAGTACAAGCCAGTGACAAGTTATTGTGTCCTCAGGCTCATGTTTTGGCACCTGACCAGCATGACCATGAGACAAAGTGTACAGAGGGCCATAGCCTCTAGCTCTGGCTATGGGATTCCTGGCAATCCTTTTACTGCTAGAATCCCAGTCTTTAAGGTAGTAATGAGGGGCATAAACTCAATAATGTAGTTATGAGGCTGTCCAGTTTTATACATTTGCTACCAAGGCCAACTCTGAAGAACCACATTCTTGATGAAACAAGGGTAAAGACATGAGAGCCAATGATCAGCAATACTGAAAGCTGAAATCTTGGGTTTCTCCCAGTTTTATTTATTGTATTCAATTGATAAAAATGCAGAGGTGCCCTAGACCAGGCAAAAAGATCAGCTAAGTTAACTGTATTTTATATTTGGACTTATCAATAATTGGACAGCTAATTTTTCCATTAAGAGACTTTAAAGAGAGGGAGAAATGCCTTTTAGCTCAAATTAGGTTTACACACAAACTCTGCTCGGAACTGAGCTGTATTTCCATCACCATCTTTCTTGGTCCACATGGGAAACATCTTTTCTTGCTGCTCCTCTGGCTAGTGTTTCATCTTTCAGTGAACACAGAGTAAGTGAGCCGCTTTCTCCTTCGCTCCTACCAATCAAACCCATTAGGGAGTTGTCTTGTCTGCAAAGCTCCACTACACAACCCACAGTAATGGTGTTTTCCATTATTGATGGGGTTCTACATAGTTGGCAGAGCCCTTTTCCTTTTCCGTGAAAAATAGACTCTGCATCAGCAATGCAGCCATACACAGAATCTGCAACATCTGTGCTTTCATATCCAGCTTGTGTTCTCTGCTACAGAGAATCATAGTATAGGCACATTTTTAATTCATGAAAATACTATTTGAACTTGTATCTTGAGTAATGAACTAACTTACTGGAGTTTTCTATTTTCAAAAATTCTTAGTTTCTCATCTTTTCAAGTGAAGTCAACTTTACTAATAATGTGTTTTTCACATTAGCAGCATTATTACTTAGTTTTCTAAAGCAGTTTCATTTTCAAGTGGTTTATTTATTTATTTATTTATTTATTTATTTATTATTTTGGCAGCTAACCAGTCTG